CTCCTCTTTCCTGTAGAAAGTCTGTGTTAGTCTGCTAGAATACAACACATATCTGTGGATTAAATAAAATAGATAAATAAACCCAAAGGAATCTACTGAAGTTAATTACCAAGAAAGAAAAGGGGTAGGGGTGGAGGAGGGAATGGCTATGCACTCCTGGAATGCAAAGAATGTTGTGCTATTGCTGAGATCAACTTGGAGCAAAACCACATGTGAAGGCTACTTAGGGTGGCTGCCCAACAAGAAATCTCAAACCGATTTCCTAGTCCCTAGCCACCATGCTCAGCAACAGCAGACATAGCGTCCCAACACAACTCAAAGGCTTCTTTAGAGTTGCTAAGACTTTCAAAGATAATGACAATTTGAATGAGCCGAGAGATTCTTGCTTGAACACAACATCTGAGAAAAAGGGAGATTTTGTAATACAGCCATAAAAGGGTTGCCATTGCCACATTTGGCTTCCGTACAGAACCCAAATGCTGTTAGTGATCTACTGAAAACTTGCCATGGATTTATCAAGGGAATTTTGTGACGAACAGAGTACGAAGGAGGGGAAATCTTAAGTTACTCTGTACAGGATTTAAGATTCTCAAGGGACTCCAGCAAAAGGCTCTTCAGAGATGCACCAAAAATTTGTCTGCCTACATCAATGTCCCACCCAGGGTACATTCCTGTAGTTGCTGTCATGACCCAGCTGGGACCAGCTCCTGCATGGGCAAGAGAAACACATATGAGCAAGAACCCAGGAAATGTGCATTTGAGTGGAGACCCACCTTTAATTTAAAAAGAGAGAAAAGGAACATTCTAACAGTGAAAAGATTTAGGCAACTTATGGTTTAAAACAGGGGTCTCCAACCCCCGGTCCATGGACCAGCACTGGTCCGTGGCATGCCAGCAACCGGTCTGCACAAACAAGCAAAGCCCCATCTGAGGGATGCAGGCAGCACACAAAACCACGCCCCCTCCGGTTCATGGAAAAACCTCTCTCCACGACCTTCTCATGTCCTTTAGCAGAATTCACAAACTCTGGCTACTAAGTTTCCTCCCCCCCCACACACAATTATTAGACACTCCTCTCCCACCATAAGTCTCAGATTTTGACAGCACTTGATGAAAAGTACTGGACTTCCTTAATCATGCCAATGGAATGTGTTTTATCATTACAGTATAGTAGCCACAGTAGAGCAAGTGCTTGACTCACAACTCCAATTGGGACCAGAATTTTCATCATGGTTATAAAGCAATTCACTGCAGTTATTAAGTGAATCATGTGGTTTTTAAGTGAATCTGGCTGCCTCCGTTGACTTTGCTTGTTGGAAGCCAGCTGGGAAGGTCGCAAAAGGCAATTCGCATGACCCCAGGATGCTGCACAACTGTCTTAAATACATACCAGTTGCCAAGTGCCCAAAGTTTGATCACATGACCATGAGGATCCTGCAATGGTCATAAGTGTGAGGACTGGTCATAAGCCACTTTTTTCAGTGCCCTTGTAACTCTGAACGGTTGCTAAACAAATGGTTTTAAGTTGAGACTGCAGTGGTTGCAGGTTGTAAGGTTGAGCGGTGAGCAGGAAAAAGTTGCTGGGTCTAAAGACTTGCTTAACTCTTCAAGTTTAATAAGTAAATGCATCCTTTGCTCAAGTTCACTGCAGGTGAACTATCTCCAGAACAACTATATTGTCGAGGCACAGAAACTACAGGACCAAGGTAGGAATATCTAAGAAAACCTCTTTGGGGAGAGTCTGGCCCTTACCCATTCAGATAAAAATAGGAAAGGAGAGTACAGTCTGAGTCAGGCATAAGATAATCATACAATATTCCAATCTGAAAATTTATTTAACCATGTATTGTATTATGTATTGTAACCATAATACAATTCAATAGAAGAAGAGGACGACAGAGAATGAGGTGGCTGGATGGAGTCACTGAAGCAGTAGGCATGAGCTTAAACGGACTCCAGAAGATGGTAGAGGACAGGAAGGCCTGGAGGAACGTTGTCCATGGGGTTGCGATGGGTCGGACATGACTTCGCAACTAACAACAACAACATTGTAACATATATTGTATTATGGATGGCTCTTTCACTACAGTTAGCACCTTACCCTGTTATCTATACTTTAAAAAGACAACATCTGGAAATTGGAGTTTGTAACATAGAACAAATCTTGTGTCAGAAGTTTTGAGGGCCCAGTCAACTTCACTAATTGCAGACAACCTCATTAACTTTAATTGTCAGTCTACTTAGAAGCTGATGTCCAACATACCTGAATGACATAAGGTTAAAGAAGGATGATCTAATCAGAGATTAGGTTTTGAGGCTTATACTATACAGTGCAAACATTTTATATTCCAAATGTTAGGATCAAGCATTATAAACAAATTTCTTCCTTGGGATCGCTATGTCCAATTCACAATTTTGATAGACATTTCCCAACAACTGTGCACGTCCTTTTGAGGTGCCCCAATTCCTACTTTTTCTTCCCTCAGTGTGCTTTCAGATCCAGATCATCTACAGATCCAGCTTATTGGGAAAATTGATTCGATTTACTTTTCAAAGCAAGTTATATATATACTGGTGGATATGCTCCAGTAGTTGGGGACACATTTAAATAAGGTTATCAGATCTGGGCTACAACATTGAGGACAACCATTAGATGGCAGCAGAAATTAAGAGTTTTGTATATTCTTCTGGTGCCCCCTTTTGGTCATGGGATTTTTGCAGCCCAGTTCTGGGAAACCTCACTCAGATGTTCATGATTGGTATGCATGTATGTGCAAATGTGGGCCTGTATGTTCCCAGTCAGTGCCAGCTATTTTGATGCTGAGGTGGCTTGCTCACAAGAAGAAGAATGATAATAAATTAAGTGACTGTGTTTGGCAGGAAGGATTTTGGCATCCGCAACCCTTTGTTATGCAATGTTATCAATTTATCTTTTCAAAAATCTAGCCAACCAGCTGTTCTGATTCATCTTTAAAGGATAAAATCTTTATAATAATATTCTTTCAGGGCTAATGCTGCCTGTAGACAGAAAGATGTACATGCCAATAAATATTGGTTTGCTTAGTTCTGATCAAGTATGTTGGGTGAACTCAGACATTATGGTACACAAAAGATGGTTTATAACAAAGCATTTTATGAAGCCAGCCAATGATGGTTTATCCAAGAAAGCATGGATAAACAAGCCATTGCTCAATGTAATATGTAAACCCAGTCATACTGGTTTTTTTTTCCCCATATAGTACATACATCAGGTTTGGTAGGAAAGGCATGTTGTAGGTCACTTGTTGGCTAGGAAATGTTATTGTGTGGAACCTAGGAAGAAAGCCTTTTCTGCTGTAGCCCCTGCCCTTTGGAACATCATTCTACTCACAGCCCCCACTCAGAGTCACCTCGAACCATGAGTTGTGCAGCAAATAAATTTAATAACAATAAATAATAATCATTCCTCCCAAAACAAGATTGACCCCAAACCTGTTGGCCTGCAGGGAGGCTCTTAAAACATGGCTTTGTCAGCTAGTTGGGGAATCCCACAGTAAAGTGGAGTCTGTTAGATGGTTATATGGATTAATGGAATATACTCTCTCTGTGTTTTCCTTCCACCTTGTTTTTATTTGTTTTTATCTTGTTTTTATTTTGTTTTAATTTCAATTGGTTGTCTGAAGAGTTTTTTGTGTGTGTTTATTGTTACTGTGTACACCTCCCATAATCACTGTGTGAGCTGGAGGCTCTACAGATGTAATTAAATACTTCTCTGGTGAATTTTGCCATTTCGCTCACCCATAGGAATTGTTGCTTAGTAAGTCTCATTGAAACCAACCAGAACATATACAACAACACAACAAATCCTCAGGCCAAGGATGGAGCAGGAAAATGGAAAAAGCATCTGATTCATGATCTAACCACTTGCGATGATCCTTTCACACAGCCCCTTCCTACCTCTTGAAAGGGAAACTGTAAAACGGCTGATTTTCACAACTTGTGCACCCAGATGTGGCAATCTGTTTCCATCCCTTGCTTGTTTCTGAAAAAAAAAGACTGCCCATTGTTGGGATTAGAAAAGGCAACAATAAATCATTTTCCCGAGCTGGCACCCTCCCAGCTCCCATAATGCTCAGAGGATTTAACTATAGATTTTGGAATTTGTAGTCCATCATAATAAATAAAATGTGCCAGATTGGAGAAAGTTAGATAAACGGATGCATAATCCAACAGAGTTCTTATGTTTCTGTCAGCCTCCCAGGGAGAGAGGAAAAAAGGGCCCTCTGGATTTTGTTAATTACTATTTCTCTCATCCATGTCCAACAGCCATTAGTTACTCTAGGCTGCTAGAAGCTGCACTCCAATGAATTACTATACCTCACCATAAGCCTCTCCATCTTTATTCTGTATAAAGCATGCTGTACAATGAACAAGCCCTCTCTCTCCCCCTCCCCCTATACTATATTTCTGATTTCTCATCCTTTCATATCCCAGGACTTCCTCTCTCCCTCTTTATCATTTATCTTCTTCCACTTATTGTTTCTTCAAAGTACAGAACCTTTTCTTTACCAACAAGATGGCTTCCTTTCTTCTATGTTTATCACAAGCCAGGCTCTCCCTGTCAGGGAAGATAAATATTTTGCATGGCCTTAAACCAACACAAAAGCCATCCTTTCTGGCGCCACCAAGTCAGAGAGGTTTTTTGTTGTGTTGTCCCCCTCCCCCACCCAACTTCTTTTGGGGGCAGTTTTGTCTCCTTGCTGTCCTCCCTACCCACTAACTCTTGTGACCACTTTGAAATGAACAGGCAACAACAACAAAAAAAAAAGTCTGTCATTTTGGAGTAGAGGAGAGAAGTGGCTGAAAACTTCCATCCTTGAGGTTGAGCGGTTTTTTCTCTCTTTTAATTTTTTCCCCATTTTTGGCAGGTGGTTGATGGAAACCACATGATGGTTCAGCCCCTGAAGTCATTTGTGTGTGTGTGTGTGTGTGTGTGTGTGTGTGCGCGCGCGCGCGTGTGTGAGCTCTGTACCTCATTGAAACCAGCTTGCCTACAAGGAAGTCAACCCCTTTCAATCCCCTCTAGTACAGTACAGCCTCCTTCAGTCCGGCGAAGGGCTTGACACACTCAGCTTCAGTCTGCTGGCAAAGGGGGAGAAAAAAAGAACATACAAAAAACAAGCGGAGGAACAGAAAAAAGAGGGACTTTAACAAGGCGGCCAAGGAGAAGGCGCTCGGGTAGAGAAGAAAGATCTGCTTCAGGTGTGATTGCAAGGACCAAACTCTGATCTGCAGGTACATTTTCTTTTTTTCCTTTTCATTTTCCCCCTCTCAACTCATTTTCCAAAGTTTCTTTTTTGTTCTCTCTCTTGGAGAGTCTTTGGAGCAAATGGATTAAATGCAGTGGACCACACAGGAATTTCAGCCATGGAACCAGCAGAAATTTGGGAATTTGGATTTTTAGATCCCTGGCTCTCACCCTCAACTTAAGCCGCAGTGTTCTGTTACTCTAACCCCATTAGAACTTCCTCCTTCCTAATTTTTTTTAAAATCCACTCTGTTTCATTTACTGTCCCATCGCTGTCTCCCCTCCTGCTCTAACTATTAGAGATCGTTCCTCTTACGCTCTCAGGAATAAATTGTAAGAGTCCTGCACGTCTACTTCTCACCCACCCTTTCTCCAGCCGCATACATTTCATGTGTACATAAGTGGTAGAATTGTTCTCTCCAGTCGTCATTCCCTACATTTTGCTCCCCCCTCCCTGTAAACTGATGAGAATCCTACTGTTAACAGCTTGCTCTTAAGCTCCTTTACTCTCGGGTTTCCTTTCATCTAGTTGGCAGCTGCCTAACCTTGTAAGATTTATTTGATTGTTTCATTCTTGCTCCCTGGAAGAGCTTTTAGGGAACCCCCTGCATTGTAGCTGGAAAGGAACGACGATAGGTGTATAACACAAGGAACCTCTCCTATGCTGATCTCAACAACTAGCCACACATTATTCAGGCTCCCTTATGGTGCGTCCCCATTTTTTTTGAAGGATGGCTCAAACCCTACTAAGAAAGGAATTTGGGGCTGTCATCTCAAATTCTGTGTTTGGTCTGCACTTGTGTGCGACTGAGTAGGAGACAGGATGACTCTGAAGCCACAAGGTCTAATTCAGTGGGGAGTTCAGCCTTGAGGAAGTGAGGAGAAATGCCACATATTGTGGGATGGACATTGTGTGCATTCATCTATGTTTTTGTCTTAGATCCCAACATTTGTGGGAGCAGAGATCCCTGAGAATGGGTTTTATCATTTCTAGGTATAGATTTTCTGCAACGGTGTAAATGTATGAACTGGCTGGGGTGATCCTCAACAATTCCCACAATCAACCAAGCTGAAGTATGGAACTATAGCTGAAACTATATTTGTATTTATCTAACTAATATATCAAAAGTGGTCATGCCCAAAGAAAGTTGGAACGCCTTGTGTCCAAAGAGAGAAGTGAACTCAAAGTACCAGTTTTTTTTCTAAAGCAGGGCTTTTCGTGGGATTTAGCTCTCTTTTATTCCTTTCGCTTGTGGTGATTTTCCATCTCAGGGGTAGATACAATCTCCCGTTCTCAACCTCTGCAAAGTAGTAAGTTAAAATTAAAACAAAGGGTGAATTTGGGGGGAAATGCAGCTCCAAATGGTCTTTCTGAGTTCCCATGAAAAGAGAGCCTAGGACCTAGGTGCTTAGACCTGCTCATTGACTCTAGCGCCATCTAGCACCACTTGCAGCTATGCAAGATCCCCACCAGTGGAGCGCCTTTTGGTCCAGATATGATAAGAATCTTCTCCAATATCCCAGGACCAGCTAGAGGACTCTACAAAACTCGCCAAAAGGGCACAAACTGCCTTTCCCTGTTGTTTTTCCTTCCACCTCTCATATTCAGAGATCTACTGCCTCTGGTCATGGCAATTTTAACTAGCTTCCAAGTCACTGCCTTCCTCATCTAAGCCCCTTGTGGAGTCATTTAGCCTCCCGCTCCATCTTACGGGAAAAGCTTCCTTAAATGAAACGTGGGTTTGAAAACTATAAAAGAGCACTTTTATATGTCCATCTTTCTGTGTTATTGCTGTTCTTTGATTTGGCACTCTTCTGGATTTTGTCTTTTCTAGTCAACAGCACCAGATCTTTCTGGTACCGTAGTTGGAGAATATAGAGATGGATATTTATTGTTCAATTTATTTGCTGCCTATCTTGCCAAGGGGCTAACATTGAGACCTTCATCTCTTGCTAAGGGGTTACAGAGAAGCCCTGTATTCACCTCTGTAATTTCTCAATTTAGCATTGCACTTTTTTAAAAATATATATATATATTTCTTAAATCCAAGAATGACTGCACTCAGCTGTCTTGGATTTGTCCAGTGTGAGTCGAAACATGAGCAGAGCAGACTGGAAGAGTTTTTTTCATTCATAGCCAGCATAAATGTTTGCAAACCAGGACTGCAAAGCCAGCAATGTCTCCAAGAGCTTCCTATTCCCACCCTTGGAAGCAATTATACAAGGAGGCCCCAGGGGAATAGGAAACCCACAATGTCTGCCAATTTAAGCAAAGCCTCCTCAATCCTTTTAGCGGATCAAGCAAAAGGGAGGCGGAGAAGATGGTTATAGATGTTAGAAAGAGAGAACAAGAGGGAGAAAATTAAGACAGGCTGAGCTATCCAAGGTTAACACAGGAGAGGCATCCAGCTAAAATGGGAGATAGGGAAAAGTGGGTGGTTTTCCCAGAGAAGGGAGGAGGGGAGTGATAGAAGTGCTTAGGCCAACAGATGCGGGAAGCACACAGCTCCTCACTGCTGCCTCCATCTTTGGGAGAGCAGATCTAGCCAGGCTTGTGGAGGAAAGGCTGCCTGGGAAAAAAACTATATGCCTGCTTGCCAAGTCTGCATCCTTGTGCCAATTCTGCCTTTCTTGGCTGTGCAATTTCCTTGGCAGCCTGCTGCTTGCTGAGCTGGCAGGCATGACCCACTGCCTGCCATTAGAATCCTCAAGCTGGCTCCACACAACCACAGATGTCAAAGCCACACGGGCTCCTCTGACCCACAGCACGTGGCATTCCCCTTCCTCCCCAACTTCGTATTTTTAATTTGATTGTTCCAGAGCTGTGTTGGTCAGTCAATCCTGTACTTATTCCAAAGATGCCTTTTCACGAGGCAACTGGACCTTCTTGTTTTTCTTTGAAGAGGTTTTGCTTCTCATCCAAGAAGCTTCCTCAGCTCTGACTGGATAGTGGGGAATGGAAAGATTTATACTCCTTGGAGACCGCTGTTCATTTGCATTCTTTTAGCCAGCCTTAAAGCTACCTGGAGGCTTATCTGTGTCTTCAGGATCACCTGAGTAGTGCAAATGGATGCAGACCCTTCTTAGAACTGTTGAAAGGACTGTGTTGTAGACTGGAGATAGATGATGTTGGATCTCTCCCCCTCTGTTGAGAGAGGGTTGTTCAATTTTGACATAGATGGCCTCTTTGACCCCTCTTTCATCTATGTCAAAATAGAACAGCCCTCTCTCAACGGAGGGGGAGGGATACGACATTATCTATCTCCAGTCCTTTCAACAGTTCCCAAAAGGCTCCACACCCATTTGCACTACTCAAGTGACCCTGACACAGAGATAAACATCCAGGTAAACCCCAACAACTCTCTAAAAAAATGCAAATGAACAGCTGTCTGCAAGGAGTATAAATCCTTCCATTCCCCACCATCCAGTCAGAGCTGAAGAAGCTTCTTGGATGAGAAGCGAAACGTCCAAAGAAAAAAAAGAAGTCCAGTTGCCTCGTGAAAAAGCGTCTTTGGGATAACTATGACCTGGATGACTGAGAATCTCCATAGACAATCCTGTACTTGTTTTTTCCAGTCACCATCCTTTCCCCTTCTCCCATTATTGTACCAAAGGCCACATTTTCATGCCTGGAATCAGGAGACCTGAATGGATTCCAGCATCCACCACTCTGAGCTGGCGACCATAATCCTGAGTGATCCTGACACTTGAATTCTGTCCCCATCTTTCCTGTCTCCTTACATCATAGGACTGTCCTATGTTCTTTCCCACTCTTCTAGGGGTTTTCTAGGCATACAATATCTCTATGGCATTGTGTTTTGTTTGGACCTCTTTAACACATCCCTGCAATCTGGCAAAATATCCTTACAGGTTCACAGGATTGTTTTTGTGGGAGTAAATCTGAGAGGCAGGAGTGCTATGCAGGTTGCCTTGATCTCCTGACCTGGTAGGAAAGTGGGTTATAAAGCTAACAAAAGAATAAGGAAAATATTGCTGGGGTGCAATGACTAAGAATGAGAGAGGTGATACTGGAACCAGTGTCCCATCTTAGAGGCTTTAAATAGCAATTAATTTGGAATTAAAATTTGCCTTTCTTCACAAGTGATTTTCAGCCTCATCCAAGCATTATGATTTGTAGTACAACAGTAACAAAGGCAGGCTACCACTATAAGTTATTGCAAATCACTAGGGAGGAAAAGGCCAGGGACACTGAATCTACAAAGTGAGTGCTTTAATTGTACACTCTCCCTTGCAGTAGGCTGACACTGTTGATCTAGACTTGTCAACTCAAAGAAAGCTCTGTTAAGTATAAGTACAGGTAAGCATGCCTAGAATTTCAGACTGAATGTCCTACAGATGAAGAAAATGTATTGAGTATTAGTAGTATTTGTTCAGAATGGAGAAAGTCATTAAAAAAGCAAGAAATGGTGACAAATTTCTTTATACAATACGAGCAGAGTCTAATTACATCATTCTCGTGATATGTCAAATTTCAAGCTGATTTATTTATCACACATACATATTCCACCTTTCTTCCAAGGGCTTGTGGGGAGGCGTTATTCCTTCTGTCTTCATAACAACCTGTGAGTTGCATAGGCTTAGGGACTGATTCAAACATGCACACAATTCGCATTGAACGTTGGATGATGAGCAATATATGATTATGGACTCACAAGATATCCTAACAAGAAATAATCTAAGTAACAAGTAAACAAGTCAAAGAATGTTGCCAGCTGTGATATTTTTTTTTCACTCAGAAAGCAAAGGATTATTTGAAAGCACAGGAATCATTTTGATTATTATTCCATTTGTCCTATTATTATTTATCACAATTCCTACAGTTTCTACAAGGACTCCTATTTCAACCTTTTTAATTGGCTATACCAACTGAAATTGGAAAGCAATTGTACCTCCATTAAGCTACCACCTGTTCCTATACCACATGCGTCACAAAATTGTCTCTTGAAACTCAGAGATATGCTTCCAT